GCAGTGAGCTGAGATCGTACCACTGCACTCCAGCCTGGGCGTCAGAATGAGACGCCATCTCAAAAAAAAAAAAAAGATTTTCTGATTTGCAATTAAGGAAGAGCAGCTTTGTTTAAAAAGTTGGGGTCAGCAGAGAAGAGCGTTAACTCTAGTTCGTGGGTGTGACTCCTTCTAGGCCCCTCAGGAAGAAACACAAGAGCAGCGGGCAGAGCTCAGTCCCCGGCTCCCCGCCTCCGAGGCCTCTGGGCCGGCAGATCTGTTTGGTGGAGGCGGCCACTCTGGCTTTTCAGGAGCCACTACGAAGACGCGATCTGGGTTCTGCTGGGAATCAGCGTCCCCAGCACCCCTGGCTGCTGTTTCAGCTGCTCGGACTATCTTGCTTTTCAGGCTGCTCATGTACTTCTCAGGGCTGGCAAGGGCACCATCTCATCAGCTGCCAGCATGGCCAGAATGAAAAGCAGGTAGAAAAACTCGAGAAGGCCACACTGGCTTAGCCTCCCAGCCTCTGTCTATCTCCCAGGCTGCATGTTCCTCAGACATCAGGCTCCAAGTTCTTCAGCTTTGGGATTCCGACTGGCTTCCTTGCTCCTCAGCTTGCAGGCAGCCAGTGGTGGGACCTTGTGATCGTGTGCGTTAATACTCCTTAAGAAACTCTATTCTATTAGTTCTGTCCCTCTAGAGAATGCTGATTTTTTCTTTTTTTTTTAAAGACGGGCTTTTACCGTGTTGGTCAGGCTGGTCTTGAACTCCCGATCTCAGGTGATCCGCCCGCCTTGGCCTCCAAAGTGCTTGGATTATAGGCGTGAGCCACCACGCCCGGCCCGAGAACCCTGATGAATACAGACATCTACCAAAAAATCTTGAAGCCAACGTGACATCTAACTGTGAAGGATGAAGCTTTCCCTGAAATCAGGAACCATGGTTTTCACACTCCACCTCCATCCAGCACCGACATCAGGTTCCAGCCAGGACAACACATGCAGAAAAAGAAATTAAAGGATCCAAATTGGGGGTGGGGGGGAGAAGTGAAATGGATTTATTTATAAAAGGCAAGATCATCTAGGTAGAAAATTCTGCAGAATCTACCACAGAGGGCCAGCGGGGACTGGGGGCTGGGATGAATAAGCACACTTGGCAAGGTGGCAGGGTACAAAATCAATAGGGAAAAATCCCTCAAACGAGGACGTGCAGCAAGTGTGACTTTCATATGTCGCTGGTACACCATGTAAAGTGATATGACCATTTTGAAAGATAGTTTAGTAAACCTTATAGGCAGCAAACCACACTGCCATGTATGTACCTATGCAACAATCTTGCATGCTCTTCACATGTACCCCAAAACCTAAAATACAATAAAATATATATTAGAAAAAAAAAGTTGGCCAGGCACAGTGGCTCACGCCTATAATCTCAGCACTTTGGGAGGATGACTTGGGCGGATCATCTGAGGTCAGAAGTTTGAGACCAGCCTGGCCAACATGGCAAAACCCCGTCTCCAGTAAAAATATAAAAGAAAATTACACAGGCGTGTTGGCAGTTGCCCGTAATCCCAGATACTCAGGAGGCTGAGGCAGGAGGATTGCTTTATCCCAGGAGGTAAAGTTGCAGTGAGTTGAGATGGTGCCATTGCACTCCAGCCTGGGCCACCAAGTGAGACTCCATCTCAAAAATAAAAGAAAAGATAAAAATTTTTTTTTAAAAGTTAAGATCTTGGGCTGGGTGCTGTGGCTCACACCTGTAATCTCAGCACTTTGGGAGGCCAAGTGGGAGGATCACTCCAGTTCAAGAGTTTGAGACCAGCCTGGGCAACATGTTGAAACCCTGTCTCTACAAAAAAGACAAAAATTAGCCAAGCATGGTGGCGCACACCCATTGCCAAGTCCCAGGTACTCCGGAGGCTGAGGTGGGAGGATTGCTTGAGCCCGGGAGGCAGAGCTTGCAGTGAGCCGTGATCACACCACTGCACTCTGGCCTGGGCCACAGGTGAGATTCTGTCTCTAAGAAAGAAGAAAACAAAGTTAAGCCTACAGCAATCACAGGACCCAGCCGTGACACCACTAGGTCTTCACCTGACAGAAACGACGGCATGGTTATGGACACACACGCCTACACAAAGATGTGCACACAAATGCTCAGCAGCTTTACCAGCAATCACGCAAACTGGAAACAACCTTCATGTCCTTCAGCAAGGGAGCGGGGGAGGCAACTGCCCGACACCCCTGCTGTGGGGCCTTGAGGAGGGAAAAGGAAGACACCCAGAGACTCTCAGAATAATTCTGAGAAAGACATCAGTGGAATCACGCACTGTGCCTGATTTCATTTGTATAAAATTTTTTTAGACAAAAATTTTATAGAAAAATTTTTTTCTATAAAAAAGACAATTTTTTTTTTTTTTTTTTGAGACAGTGTTTTACTTTGTAAAAAAAAAAAAAAAAAAAAAAATTTTTTTTTTTTTTTTTTTTTTTTTGAGACAGGGTCTGGCTCTGTCACCCAGGCTAGAGTACAGTGGTGTGATCTCAGCTCTCTGCAGCCTCTGCTTCCCAGGTTCAATCGATTCTTGTGCCTCAGCTTCCTGAGTAGCTGGGATTACAGGTGTCCACCACACCCAGCTAAGTTTTATATTTTTAGTAGAGATAGGGTTTCACCATGTTGGCCAGGTTGGTCTTGAACTCCTGACCTCAGGTGATCCACCCGCCTCAGCCTCCCAAAGTGCTGGGATTACAGGCGTGAGCCACCATGCCCAGCCTAGAAAAAGCCAATTAATCTATGGCTTTTTAACCAGGTCAGGGGCTGCTGGGAATGGCTCGGGTCAAAAGAGAGGGATAAGGGAGGAGGGACTCCAAGGGGTAGGAAACAGGCTTTCGGGTGATGGAGAGGTCTCCATCTCAACTGTGGTCATAGTCTTATGGAGGACATACATCAAAATCGATCAGCTCTTACACTTTATTATTTATTTATTTATTTATATTTTGAGACAGAGTCTCACACTGTTGCCCGGGCTAGAGTGCAGTGGTGCAATCTCGGCTTACTGCAACCTCCGTCTCCCGAGTTCAAGCAATTCTTCTGCCTCAGCCTCCCAAGTGGCTGGGATTACAGGCACCCGCCACCAACACCCAGCTAATATATATAATAATATATATATTATATATAATATATAACAATATATATACATTATTATATTATATATAATATATATTATATATATATATACATTATTATATATATATATAATATATATATATATACAGTGTGTGTGTGTGTGTTTCACCATGTTAGCCAGGCTGGTCTTGAATTCCTGACCTCATGATTCACCCACCTCAGCCTCCCAAAGTGCTGGGATTACAGGTGTGAGCCACCATGCTCTTAAACTTTAAACAGCAGCTTGTTGTGTGTAAAGGTCAGTAAAGGTGTTATTTAAAACAAATGGATGAGTACGATGGCTCACATCTGTAATTCCTGCACTTTGGGAGGCTGAGACAGGTGGATTATTTGAGGTCAGGAGTTCAAGACTAGCCTGGCCAAGATGGTGAAACCTTGTCTCTATTAAAAATACGAAAATTAGGCCGCGCACAGTGGCTCACACCTGTAATCCCAGCACTTTGGGAGGCCGAAGTGGATCATGAAGTCAGGAGTTTGAGATCAGTCTGACCAATATGGTGAAACCCTGTCTCTACTAAAAATACAAAAATTAGCCAGGCGTGGTGGCACACACCTGTAATCCCAGCTACTCGGGAGGCTGAGGCAGGAGAATTGCTTGAACCCAGGAGGCAGAGGTTGCAGTGAGCCAAGATGGCACCACTGTGCTCCAGCCTGGCGTCAGAGCAAGACTCCGTTTCAAAAAAAAAAAAAAAGAAAAGAAAATTAGTGGCGACAGGTGCCTGTTGTTCCAGCTACTTGGGAGGCTGAGGTAGAATTGCCTGAACCTGGGAGATGGAGGCAGCAGTGAGCTGAGATCGTACCACTGCACTCCAGCCTGGATGACAGAGTGAGACTCTGTCTCAAGAAAATAAAATAAAAAATAAAGAGCTAGATTACCGATGAGGTGTGGTGGCTCACACCTGTAATCCCAGCACTTTGGGAGGCCAAGGCGGGTGAATCACGAGGTCAGGAGTTCAAGACCAGCCTGTTCAAGATGGTGAAACCCCATCTCTACTAAAAATACAAAAATTAGCCATCCACGATGGCAGGCGCCGGTAATCCCAGCTACTCAGGAGGCTGAGGCAGGAGAATCGCTTGAACCCGGTGGGGAGGTTGCAATGAGCCGAAATTGCGCCACTGTACTCCAGCCTGGGTGACAGAGCGAGACTCCGTCTCAAAATAAATAAATAAATAAATGGTAACTAGATTAGCTTTCTAGAAAGAGGCAGAGGAGAGGCAACCGTGGAGGGCTGGAAGGTAGATGCTCCTTCAGTGTTATGGATGCATGACAGTGGCTCTGGGTCATTTCCAACTTTAAATGCACGAATGACCACTTCTGCTTCCCTCCTCTCCTGTGACCTCCTATCTCCACGTGCTGTCCTTGTTGGAGCTTCTCACTGGGGCTCGGAGCTGGCATATCCCTGTGCTGCCTGGAGCCACTGTCTGAAGGGGCGACTCACCCTGGCACTGCAGTGACATGGTCACAGACACACAGGGTTCCCATGCTCACCATCTGGAGAATGCAGAAGCGCAGTCCAGGTCAGAGGGCACAGGCATTTCTGAGCCTGGACCAGGAGTCCGTGTTATGGACTGAATGTCTTTGTCCCCAAAAATGTGTATGTTAAGTTCAAACCTCCAATGGGAGGTGGGACTTTGGGAGGTGACGAAGGCGAATGCGGTCTTGGAGGGCACCGACCAAGAGCTTAGTGTCCTCATGAGACAAGGAAGGGCTCAGAGCTCCTGGGCTGGGCAGGCCGAGGGGATCCTGCAGCCCAGACTCCCCAGCACCCCTGCTGTGACGGGCACCTGTCCCCACAGACATGGACTCCTAAGCCCAAGCCGGATCCCTGCCCAAGGCCAGAGAGGACACTGGCCAGGCCCAGCTGAAATGGCTTGGGGTTGAAGGCTGGACCCATCTCTCCACCTCCCCACCCAGAAGGGCCCGGCTTGTGCCATCTCACCACCTCTCCACCCAGAGGGGCCCGACCTGTGCCATCTCTACACATCTACACCCAGAGGGGCCCGGCCTGTGCTATTTCTACACATCACCCAGAGGAGCCCAGCTTGTGCGATCTCTACACATCTCCACCCGGAGATGCCCGGCCTGTGCCATCTCTACACATGTCCACCCGGCAGTGCCCGGCCTGTGCCATCTCTACACATCTCCACCCGGAGAACCCAGCCTGTGCCATCTCTACACATCTCCACCCAGCAGTGCCCGGCCTGTGCCATCTCTACACATCTCCACCCGGAGGACCCAGCCTGTGCCATCTCTACACATCTCTACCTGGAGGACCCAGCCTGTGCCATCTCTACACATCTCCACCCAGAGATGCCTGGCCTGTGCCATCTCTACACATCTCCACCCGGAGGACCCCGGCCTGTGACATCTCTACACATCTCCACCCGGAGATGCCTGGCCTGTGCCATCTCTACACATCTCCACCCGGAGGACCCCGGCCTGTGCCATCTCTACACACATCTCCACCCGGAGGACCCTGGCCTGTGCCATCTCTACACACATCTCCACCCGGAGGAGCCCGGCCTGTGACATCTCTACACACATCTCCACCCGGCGGTGCCCAGCCTGTGCCATCTCTACACACATCTCCACCCGGAGGAGCCTGGCCTGTGACATCTCTACACATCTCCACCCGGAGATGCCCAGCCTGTGCCATCTCTACACATCACCCAGAGGACCCGGCCTGTGCCATCTCTACACATCTCCACCCAGAGGTGCTTGGCCTGTGCCATCTCTACACATCTCCACCCAGAGGGACCTGGCCTATGTGGCACCTTCACACCATGGTCGAGCTCCAGGTGACTCTGCTGGCATTTCTGCTGCTGTACCAAGTGCAGTGCCCTGGGCAGCAGTGGTGGGCAGTGGGGCACCCAGGGCCTATCCATGGCTTCCCTCTGCCCCTCCTTTGCAGCCCTGGAGGAATTGCTATCATATAAGCCAGGCACCAAGACCCCAAGAGACGGGCTGCACCAGGGCATGGAAGCAAGAGAACAGGGCGGCTGTGTGGGGTGTGCAGGGCCCAGCCTGGTCCTTGGTTGGGCCGCGCCTCTCTTCAGCCCAGGTGGGACCCCTGCAGCAGGGATTCCTGACCTGGTGTTGGGTGTGAGTAACACCCCCCCATGGGCACCGAGGAAGGAGACCTGTGCAGACTCCAGGCACAATTAGTGCTTGAAGTATAACTCACCGCTTGCTTATATCTAGCTTATATATATATAATCATATTTAGTACCATATAATCTTTCTATATAACCATATAACTTACTGCTTACTGTATCTAGCTAATATATATAATCATACTTATTTCCATATCATTCTTCTATATAATCATATAACGGATGTAGTCGGCGCTGTACCAACACATTTCGTGCTGATTTATAGAATCCTTCTGTATAACCATATAGTAGTTTGTAGCAGGAGGAATCCCTAGAGCAGACGTACAGTGGAAGCAAGTACATGGGAAAAACAGCCAGACCAGGACAAGAACCAACGACCCAGGCGGTGTCATCTTGCCTGAAAGGGCATATGCTGTATGGCAGGCTTGGAGCAAGAGCCTCTCCTGATAAAGGAGCTGTAGTACCTTGCATCCAGTTCCTGTGGAAAGTCAGCCTCAGGCCTGAGATCCTGGAAATAACCGAGGGATAAGAACCCCTCTGGTGTGATTAGTCAGAGCGGCTGTACACCCTGTCAGTCTTTTCTCACTTCTGTGCTGGCTCAAATCATCCTCCCTTAAATATCCTAAGAGAAGAGCACAAGTCTGTCAGCTCCCGCTGCATTGGCTTACAGTATCCTTCTATTAGAAACGCTTTGAAGTCTCCAGCCCCTAGATAAGAAGTGTTGCACACAACACCTGTTGCACGCAGCCTGCCTCCTTACCTCGGTGACCTAATGGGGGTGGATGCTTTTTCTGTACATGACCCTCTCATACTGCGCACAGCATGGCACGGCCCCCGGCTGCGCACGGCCCACCTCTCTGCCCAGGTGATATAATGGGGTAGCCCCCTTGCTTGTAACTCACATGATTATATATGCCCTATCACTAAGCCTATAGATGATGACCTCACTCACGAACCTTCCCTCTGCTTGTACCTAATAAATACAGATGCTTCTGTGTGTTCGGGGCCTCGAGCACACAGAAGGTGGCGTGGCCCTCCAAGTCCAGCTGCTCTTCTCCAGTTCTTCAGTGTCCTGTCTCTTTACTTCTTGGGTCCTGCACTTCAGCACACCATAAGGGACACCCCACAACCCTGTGGGGCCAACAGCCCTACAGTTGGGGTGCTCACCCTGGGGGGCAGGCCAGGTCTCATCCATGTGGTAATGTCCCAGTGTGGGTAGGGCCAAGGAAAGGGAGGCCCCCTACCCCCAATGGAGTCTGCCACACCCCTAATTGTGGTGAGGGCCCAGGCTCAGAGCAGTCTCCTTGCCATCCACTGCCCCTACCCCTCTGGGCCCTGAGGTCATCAGTGCCTGGGTGGCCCAGGACACAGAACCTGCAGATGGGGTCCTGGGGTCAGGTGACAAATTTTCGGAGCCAGGTCTAAGCTTTCGGTGGGGAAACTGTTTCACAGTTCCTCAAACTGCCCCTCCTGACCCCTCCCCACCCCCGCAGAGGCATGGGAGGAGGTGCGGGTGGAGGACAAGGGTCAGAGACTGGGAGGTGGGTTGCCACGGCAACAGGAGTGATTCTGAGATGGGGCGGCTGACCCTGGCTTCTCCCTCTGAAAAGTTGAGACAGCCGCGAGGGCAGTGGGGCCCAGCGCCCGTGGCTTTGCTCCTTGGCCACAGGCAGGACAAACAGGGCCAGCGCCAAGTGCCCAAGCCCCACTAAGGGCTTCACCCCACAGGGGCCCTTATCTGCTGAGAAACCAGCAGGTGCAGGGCAAGGAGGGACCTGAGACACAGAGGGCATAGGGCCGGTGGGCACGGGGCAGGTGGGCATGGGGAAGGGCACCGAGTCCACAGCCGGGCCACCCCCTGTGCAAGAGCGCCATCTGTGTGTGTGCCCATGCTGCTCTGCCCAGGACTGGCCCCAGATTAGACTCAGACACGGCCACACCTAGGAACACTCCAAGGAGAGGAAGGCACATCCGTGCCAGCAGCAGCTGCCTGGAGAACATCACAGGAGCAGATCCAAGTTCACACAAAAGACAAAATGTGGGTCTGACGGACTGGCCGCCTCACTGCCTGGGATAGTCGCCAGCACTGGGGTCTCAGCCACCGTCCCGAGCTCCTGGGCAGAGCCAGTGGTCGCTGGCCTGGACTCAACCCAGCCTGTGCACAGAGGTGGGAGCTGGGCCTCCCCACACCCTGCAGGGGCCTGCGTCCAGTGCCTCAGGAGCAGCAGCAGCAGGTCCCAGAGGCCCCATCCAGAAAGGTGTGGCATCAGAGCTGGCTCTGACCAGGTCCCGACGGCTCAGGCACACACACATTTCTGGAGTACCCTCTGGGTCTGCAGCAGTGATGAGATGACCAGTGACACCGGTGGCTCTGGGAAGAGCGGATGGGCAGGCTGGTTTCTGAGCAGAAAGTCTGCACATGTGGTGGGCACGTATCTGACACAAGGGCCACCTGAGGTCAGGAGTTTGAGACCAGCCTGACCAACATGGTGAAACCCTGTCTCTACTAAAAATACAAAAATTGGCCTGGTGTGGTAGCAGGCACCTGTAATCGAAGCCACTTGGGAGGCTGAGGCAGAATTGCTTGAACCCAGGAGGAGAAGTTGCAGTGAGCCAAGATCACACGACTGCACTCCAACCTGGGTGACAGAGTAAGACTCTGTCTCCGGTGGATCTGGGCTTGGGGAGCAGCGTGCACACCCAGGCGTCCCGCTCCCACCCATTTCCTAGATAGCAGGTAATGTTGGCCAGAAGCCCCACAGCAGGTCCAGACTGTGACAGCTCCCCCTGCTACAAGTGTGGGTGCCCAGCAGGCCCGGCCCTGCCCAGAGCATCTGGCAGAAGCGCCATGCCCCCAGCAAGCTCAGACCTCGCATCCCAGGCAAAGCGCATTTCCTCCAGTCACTTGGAAAGCAGCTCTGAGCTGCCTGTCCACCTGGCGAAGTCTAATGGCACTCAGTGGCCATGTGACTCGGCCGCCCAGGAAGAGCCGAGGCCTTGCAGTGTCTACCCAAGAAGTGCAGACTCAGCCCCGGCACATCTGGAAGTCAGTCCTGCGGGCAAAAGACCAGAGCTCCCATGAAACTGCTCCTCTTGAATTGCTGCCCAGGCCACAGCCCACACTGAGGGCTTTGTGACAATCATCCTACCAGCCTCCGGACGAGAAGAGAAAGTGCAGAGGCGGTTTATGGAGGCAGGGTGCACACTGTCACCCGGAAGGGAACAGGCACAGCATCATAGAGGGGGGGCTGGCCCTGGAAGACGGAAGAGATGCCCCACAGCAGAACCAAGGTGGCACATCCAGCCACCCTCGCCGCCACCACGGGCAGCATCCATGGAAAGGTTGGCCAGACTCAGGAGATAAAGATGAGAAGCTTGGGGAAGAGGCAAGCCCTGGGCTGGCAGAACAGGCAGAGTGAGGGTCCCGCATCCCACAGAGGTGCCTGCATTTGTCCAGAGGGCAGCCACTCTCTGGAGGTCCTGTGGACAGGGGACGTCAAATGCAGTCTCATCCTGCCACCCAGCAACTGCTCCAGGGACCCAGACACAAAGTACCCAGCGGCAGGGACAAAGCTGTGTGTAAGCTGACAGCCAGCGTGGGCTTCCCTGGTTCTTGGCACGGCCTCAAGCCTGACCCACTCTCAGCGAAGGCCAAAGTGGCCCCATCAGTGAGACTGGAGGGTGGGGACTTGTCGGCAAGCTGGTGGCCGCCAGGAAAGGTGACAGAGACAGAGCCTCTTGGGGAAGGAGAGATATGCAGCTTTGCCATTCAGCCAATACTGGTGCCAGTACCGTGGGGCCTCAGGACCCCCTGCTGACCTCTACCTTGCCTCCAGAGGAGGGTCCAGCCTACCACCCTGGGGGCCAGGCTCACACCAGGAATCCCAGCTGAGGGATAAACTTGGAATATATGTGGCCATTTTTGCCAAAAGCCACAACACCCAGGTCCAAGAGTGAGGGGAGGGTCCCTCGTGGGGTCTCTGTCCCACTCCAGCACCTTGGGGGCCCACATTGGTTGGGAGCAGGCAAGGGACATGGGCTTTGGGAGATACAGTGAAGCCAGTGGGCTCAGCCCCCCAACCCCACCAGAGCCCCAGACAGCCTCCAGAGGAAGCTGCAGGGTCCCTGTGTCCCCGCCCTTTGGCTGAGTGCCACCAAGGGTAGCCCTGGAGGCTCCTGGAGCAACGGAAGAGAGAGAGGGGCCTTGGTTCCCGGGCTCCTGGCCACACCCCTGGGCAGAAGGTCCCTACTCCTCACCAGGGCGCCCAGCCCTGCCTGGACTGGTGAGTGCCCCTGGGGGCAACCCTGCCCTGTGGCTTCCTGGTACCCTGCCTCCATCTCTGTAAACAGTCACCAAATTGTCCTCAACTGGCCCTGCCACGTCTCAAATCTGGAGCCAGGACAGTCGTGGTGGGGAGACACAGACCATGGTGGACACTGCTCCTGGCCACAGCCTGGGCTGCAAGGGGTACCCCCACCCCACCCTCCACCCTGCTGGGGTACAGGGGTCTTCCCTCATGGGGCCTCAGCTCCCCACTCTGCAGAACAAGCAAGAAAGCAAAGGATCCCGGGCAGAAACCCCTGGGTGGGCAGGGCTGAGCTGGCTCCCCAGCCTGGCCCAGGGACAGGCCCCCAGCCCTCCACGGGCTCAACACACTTCCGGTCCAGGATTGGGGGCATTTTGAGTGGGAACGGAGAGGAAACAGGCCTCGCTCCAGGTGGGTCCTCAGGAGTTCAGCCTCTGGGGTTTACCCTGTGGCCACCCCCAAATGTGCCTAGGGCCTTGGCCTGAGACTAAAGCCACTTTAAAGGGGGTGTTGGTACCAAGATACGAAAGAAAAAAATAAAATATAAAAGTATTTTGTAAAGGGTGGTGGCGGAGGGGAGCAAAGTAGCCTGGCCGGCTGGCTGCCAGGGAGGTGCAGCCCATCGGGGCTCAGCACAGGTTCACGGGTTATTGGGGGTGGGTGGCCCTCCCGGCACAGGGGCTGCCAGGTACCGCACGGAGTCTGAGAAGGGGCCTGGCCGGGCCCAGTAGTCCAGGGCTCGAACTCGGTAGGAGCCGGAGACAGCACCTGTGTCTGGAGACACGGGGACACGTGTGCTAACTTGAATGTGTGTCAACCCAAACCTGCCCACATCCCCTGACCCTAGGCTTCTCGAGGCCCCCAACCAGTACTTCGCTGAGGCCCAAGAATGGGGTAGCTGAGGCCAGGGCCATGGGTGGCGGACTCACCGGGGCTGAACACAAACAGGTTGAAGTTTGACGGCTTCCTGCTGACCGGGGTGTACACCTTGCCATCCTGGGAGAACTGGATCTCATATGTCCACAGGCACCTGGGGAGGTCAGGCCAAGATCAAGGCTGGGGTCAAGATGGCCCTCAAGGCTGGGGCAGGCAGGGCAGGGCTGGGTGGACCCACACCCCCTTCCCTCTGGCACCTCCCCACGCCCCTGGGCACTCTTCCTGCACCAGCAGGGGAGGGGGAGAGGGCTGGAGCCCGACTGTCCACTTCATGTCCCCTAGGAGAACCCACACCCACTGGCAGGGCCTGGCGTCAGGCCCATAGTGTGAGAGGTGAAGGGATGCGGGGCTGCGAGGGGGGGAGCCGAGGGCAGAGTGAACGCATGGGTGACGGGGTCGGGTCCCAGGGGCGTGCCTAGGACCAGGCAGGGGTAGGGGTGGCCCCACTCACGCACTTGGAGCCCACGTGCTCATCCGACCAGACCAGAACCAGCTGCCCTCGGGTCAGGGGCAGAACGCGGAGCCTCGTGACCTGGGGGAGGGAGGGACTGTGATGGGGTCGGGGAGGGGGAAGTCCGCGCCACGGCGCCGGTGGGGACTGCCACTTGCCTGGCCAGGCGGCTTCTCAGGGCGCGCGCACACGTGCACCAACAGGAGCGACGGCAGCGGCAGCGCAGGGCGCAGGGTCAGGCGGCCGCCGGCGGGGAAGGGCTGCGGGGCCTCGGCCACAGGGTCCTGCGCGCAGTGGCGGGTCCTCCGGGTTCTCCAGGCGGGCTGAGGACGCTCAGCCCGACCTCAGGGCGAACGCCCCCGCCCACCGCCCCCCCACGCAGACCCACCCGGGGTCCCCACCCCTGTTCTCCCCCCTTCCCCGTCCACACCCCTGGGACCCCGGCCCAGCCCGTCCCCCTCCGCGGCCCACCCACCTCGGCCGCGCGCATGCGCCGGAACTGCTCGGCTGAGGGGAAGACCGGCCGGCCCAGGCGCCGCCACACGCCCTCGGGGCTGCAGACCCGGTTGTCCAGGTAGCGAGTGACGTACACCAGGCCTGCGGCGCCGGACACTCGGGCCTCGGCTCACCGGTCCCGCCCCCCGGGTCCCGCCCCCTCCAGCTCCCGCCCCCTCCAGGTCCAACTCCCTCCAGGCCCCGCCCCCTCCAGCTCCCGCCCCCTCCCGAGCCCCCGCGGGGCAGAGAAATCCCTGGGACCCTGGCTCACCCGGGCCGGGGGGCACCCCGCTCAGCCACAGGGTCACTGGGACGCTGCGGTTGGCGTGGGCGCGGGTGTCGTCGCTCGCGTAGATCAGCACCGCGGCGCGCCAGGCGTCGGCCGGGCCCTCCGGGCGGTGGGCGCTGGCCAGGACCCCCACCGTGTGGTTGCCGTCCAGAACCTTCCCGGCCCGCGACACCTCGGCCCAGAGCTGCTCTTCGTCTGCGGGGTGGGGGCGCCGTTCCCGCGTGGGGTCGCTGCCCCGCCCCCTTCCCCCCCACTCCCCTCCCTCCACTCGCTCCCCCTTCCCTGGGGGAAGGAGTCCCCAGGCCCCGCCTCCCCACCCCTCGGGGCGGCCGACCCTGGGAAGCGCTCGGCTGGAGAAGTGCGCTCCCCGCAGCCGGGCCTTTGCGCCCCAGCCTGCAGGCCGGGCCAGACTCACCCAGCAGCGCCAGCAGCCCCAGGGCGGTGAGCACCGGCTTCCGCAGCAGCTGCACGTGCGGCGGGCGGGTGTTGTTGACCTGGAAGCGCGCGGTGAGGGTGCGCTGCGCGAAGGGGTGCGGGTGGTAACTCAGGAAGGCGTTGTCGTTGCTCAGGAGCGCGTAGGGGATGGCGGAGCTGGTGTTGGCCAGCAGCAGGTTCTGGTGCTGGGCAATGACCTGCGGGTGTCCAGGGCGGCTGGAATCGCGTGGCGCGGCCACCACTCCCCTATCCCGTCCCGGGAGGAAGGTGGCTGGGGGGCGCGCAGGTCGTTGGGCCTGCCCACCTTCACCACCATAGCCGCGTAGGTCACGTCGGCCCTCCACTGCTGCGGCAGGGACCAGCCCACCAGCGGGTCAGCCTCGTCATTGTAAATGGGGGTGTCCGCGAACTTGGGGAAGAACTGCCGGATCTGCTGCGCCACGGCCTTCTCTTGCTCCAGGATGGAGATGGAGCTGCGTGCACCCTGCGGGCAGGGCTGTCTCAGCACCACCAGGTCAACATGGCACCCCAGCTGTGGGCGAAGGACCCCAGGGCGGGCGGAGGAGCAGGGCATACCTTTCGGTGGAGGGAGACATAGTCCAGCCGCACGCCCGCCTCTCCAGTGAAGAAGTTGGTGCCGTTGTGGCAGTGGCGCAGGAGGCCCCAGCTCAGCGGGGATCGCGGTGGGGGGTGGAAGGAGTCCCCGGGGCCGCCCAGCCGCAGGGCAGGGCTGGCAGTGCGCAGACCCTCGGAGCAAGCATCGTAGTAGTTCAGGAAGCCTGGGGTCGGGGAGAAGTGCTGCATCCACGCCTGCCCTGGGGACCAGGGCTTAGCCTCCGCTCCTGTCCTCCTCTGCCCCTTTCAGCTGGGCAGGACCCCAGGAAGCCACACACACCTTGCATGGTCATGGAGACGTTGTCAAAGTCGTGGTGGTCTGGCTCGTTCCACGTCTCGAAGTTCCACTTGGAAACATGCGCCAGTCCGTACCTACCTACAGAGGACCCCTGCTGTCCCCCCAGCATAGGTGAACCTCGCCTCCGTGACTCCCAGGGAGGGAGAATGCAAGGTGATGAAGGGCGTCTGGCTCAAGATGAACCCTGCCCCCACCCAGGCCAGCCTCCGCCCCCCATCAGGAAGTCCTGGCTCAAAGGGGTTTCAGACCCCTGGGGCAGTCTGGGTGATCAGGGTGCAGCGTGCCCAGGAGTATCCTCCCCCGTCTGGGGCCCCAGGGCCTGCGCCCGCCCACCGATGTATCTCCTGGCGAGGCTGGAGACCAAGTCCTTCCACTCAAACACCTGCTGCTTGTCCTCAAAGTCGGTGAAGTGGCCGGAGGGGCTGCCCATCAGCTCAAACCCTGCAACACAGGAGGGCTGTCCCAGTGCCCGTCGCACAAAACACCCATGCTCTGCCAGGCCTGTGCTCCAGCACCAGGGCCAGTCCTGGGTGGGCTCCAGCCATGACTGGGAGGGGCTGGGTGGGGGAGAGGGTGGGCAGGGCGAGGGGGTGCAGGAGGGCTGGGAGAGCAGAGCCCACAGTTCACCTGGGAGGAGCTGGTTCTCCCTAAGAAGGTCCAGGTACCCGTCCAGGTGGGTGAAGTTGTAGCTCAGGCCCGATCCAGTAGAGCCCCTGTGGAAGGACGGTCAGCGTCAGGAAGAAGGGTGTCCACATGGCTACGTGCCCCAGGCTGGAACCGTGGCCACAACAGAGCAGGTGGGAGCCTGCAATGTGCCACACAGGACTTGGATCCTGGCTTCCCAAGGGGTCCTCCCCTTGGAAAATAACCCTATGAAAGCCCAGTGTGAACTAGCGTGTCTGTACATGGAGAACCCCCCAGCCCTATACCATCATGAGATGGAAGACTTGGGGTGGGGGCTTGGAATGGCCCTGATGCTTGGTGGGATGAGGCAGGCAGGTACCAAGGGGCAGGGGCCAGGGTTCAGGAGCCAGGCAGGACCTGGTGGGTCCCCACCCTGTTTCTCTGTACCTCCTAGAGGCCCAGGAGGGCCCCATTTCCTCTCCCACACCCCATGAGGCAATATGGATGTGCAGGAAAGGGCGAAGGGGCCACCCTGCTACGCTGCACTTGCAGATAGGGCTGAATTCCCACAGGGCTTGCATTCGAGGGGACAGGTGTCCTCAGGGAATGGGAATCTTTGGTGAAGGGGATACAGCAGGGAGTGGCAGTCCTGATGATCAGTGAGGCACCTCTCTGAAAGGCTGCCACACAGTGGGACAGGCTAGCATGAGGACACCCAGGCAGCAGATGGCATCACCAGGGCAAGGCTCTGGGACAGGAGTGTGCACGTGATAGGCAGCAGAGAGGCAGCTGGTGGGCCTGGGACAGAATGAGGGTGGATATCACAGGAGATGAGGCTCCATGGGGCTCTGGAAGTGACCGCTTTGAGGATGGGACTCTGACCCAGAGGGAAACAGGGACCCCTTTCAGGGTTCTGAGCCCAGCAGTGCCAGGACATTTTTAAAGGATCCCTCTGGTGGCTCACTGGAGCCAGGGTAGGGGCTGGAAGACTGGCTGTGGTGGTCACCTGGAGAGGTATGGTGCCCAGACTGGCTGTTGGCTGTGCAGAAGCAGTAGATGGACTGATGAGGTTTGGGGTGAGCTGGGTTGGGGGTGGGGGTGGTGTCCAGGGCAACTGTGGATTTCAGCTTGGGCAGCTGGGCAGGTGAATGAGCTTGGAGTGAGAATGGCCTCGGTTCTAGCCATGTAGAGTTGGACATCTGAGGGTGAACTGGATGAGGAGGCTGGTGTGCAGGGGCCGGGCGCTGTGGACGATATTCTGGCCTGAGGGAAGGGGAGTGGGATGAATGGAATAGCTGCCAACCCTGAACCTGGAGTGAGAAGTAGAGACCAGGCTGGCCAGGGTCTGAGGGCTTCCTGCGGACGCCACACAGAAGGTGAGCACAGCTGCTGTGGGCTGTGCCTCTCCCGTGGCAGCTGGGTTTGTCCCTCATCTGCAGTGGTGGGGAACAGGGTTACCACCATGGACCAGAATCAGCCCTATACAGCTCCCTGTCAGTCTACCCAGGCCACAGCCCCACCACCTCACAGCAAAGGTCTAGACACCTCAATGCCTCCCTTTGGGTCCTCCCATGGTGTACAAGATCAAGACAGAGCCTGGGCCTGGGCCTGCAGCCCTCAGGTGCGGGGTCCTGCTTCACCGGGCCCTGCCTCTGCTGCCCCCACCTGCTTCTGTACCCAGGGCTGGGTGCCCAGCATGTGTCCCCGGGGTCCACCCCACCCGGCCCCTACCACCTCTCCTCCTCTCCATCCAAAATACACACTGGTAGCAAAGAAGTAAAACTTCAGAAACACCCGGACAAAAATCAAATGCGCAGGAGGTACATTCCAGAGTCCCACGGGGTTGGGGTGGTGGGCCATGGTGACCAGCAGGAAGTGAAGGCCCCGCTGGGCTTCAGGCTTTCTCTGCAACCCCCAAGGCGCTGGCCCAGCGGCCCCTGACACTGGGGCAGGCGCTGAGCGGAGCGGGCAGCATCAGAGATGTCCCTAGTCTGACACCCAAGGTGCCCCGGAGTGTCATCTGGCTGGGCCAATCTCTCAGCGAGGGATGCCTGGGACCGGGATCCCCGCCCCGGGGGCGACACCAGGCCAAGGATCCCGGGGACAGTCCCATTGAGAGCGGCCTTGGGAGACCTCGCTGGAGAGGAGCTGAGCCGGCGAGGTGGAGACCCCCACCAGGGCCGGAGGCGCAGACAGGCCACCGCCCAGCCTGGGAGCGGAAGCCGCAGGGGCGCCTTGGCCCTGCCAGACCCAGCGCGGGGCGCCAGTGGGGCCGCGGCTGCCGCACAATGGGCTCATTCACCGCGCGGCCGCGGCAGGTCGGCCGCCCGGGTCCCCGCGTCCCCGCCCCTGGGCCCGAGCGCGTGCGCCGCGAGGACCGTGCGGCTGCCGGGCCTGGTGAGTGCTCGGGGCGCAGGATCCGGGGCGCGCGTGCTCGGCGGTGGGGGCGCGGGGCAGGGCCGCGCGTGCATGGGGGTTCGCAGGCGGTGGGGGGAGACCGCGTGGGATGGGGGCGGACGGCGCGCTCCTCAGGCTGGCAATGGGAGTGTGGGGTAGGGGCGGAGGCCGGGCTGGCTGGTGCCCGGGCACAGCACGGCGCGGGCACAGCACGGGGCGGGCACAGACCCGCCTCTTGGGAGAACCTGCAGCTGTGACCAGGACGACGGGGATGCAGGTGCTAGAGGGTGCAGGCCAGGGCCCCCCTCTTCTCCTCCAGACCCCGGAGCACACCCACCCGCTGGAAGGTCACTGGTTCCAAAGCTCTGTGGCCGGGCTTCTTTCCGAGGCGGAGGCAATAATACAATCCTTCCGTTCCCAGTCAGTGTACTCCCATGTAAAACGGTTGATTTAGGGGCAAAATGAAGGAGGAAGTAGGCATGTGGCACAGGACTGGCCAGGAGTTCCGGCAGGAGGGTGGTTCAGGCAGGTCCGAGGCGCTGGGCCCCCATGCCCCCTGGCCTGCATCGCAAAGCAGGGAAGGAAGGCGTTGTCTGCAGCCTGGTGCCCACACAGGCTTGGGGTAGAGTGCCCACTCTCTCTGGCCAGCAAGGCCCCTGGACTCCTGGGCACTCAGCCTTTGAGCCTGGCCACAGGGCAGTACCAGCCACTGTCTTAATGCTCAGGCAGAGAAACTGAGGCAGAGACAAGTGGGAGGGGGGCAGATCAGGCTGCAAGGATCCTACAGGGATGACCTCACCTGCTTTAGACACCCAACCTAGGTGGAGACTAAAAGGGCGCAAGGCCCAATGCCTGCAGAAGACCCCTGAGGCCAGGCCCCTGCAGTGTGGCTGAGCGGCTCACGGGCCTGGGTGCTGTACCTGTCTCAAACCCCACCATGGGTCCTGCTAAACCAACCTCTGGAAATCCCCGCCAACCTTCCTGATGGGAGAAGGGCCGCCTCCCACTCGGGGTTTTTCTGTGGCCCCAGGTGACACACCCCCACCCTGCCCTGCCTGCAGGTGTCTGCACCAGGCACCCCACCCCTGCTGCAGCACCAAGAGTCCTCCCAGCCTCCTTTAGAGAGACCTCTAAGGGTTCTCCAAAAACCCTGCTGGTGGCTGAACCCAGAGAGGCCCTCATCTGCTCCAGGGAGGGTCCTGAGGCCCTGAGTGACCCCACCCACTGGCCAACCGCTTCTTACACCACAGCTCCCAACCGCTGGGTAAACAGCTGCTTCCCAGGGGCCACTCGTGCCCTGGTTAGGCTGGGGTGGGAGCAAGGGCTCCATCCCAGGTGGAGGCTATGGGAGTACTAGACCCTGGACTGTCCAGCCCTGTCCACATCTCATGCTCAGGGTGTCCTCCCACTTTCTGGCCACCCCAACTACATTCCACTCCCATTTCACCTTCAAATGGGGGGGCTACAGGACCCAGGGCTGTGGGGAACCAGCAGGGCTGGGCAGGCGGCTTCCCTGAAGGTACTTTCGGTGGGGCTGTGTGTCCAGGGTCCTCTCCAGGGCTCTGCCCCATCAACATCTTGGTGTCGCCATCATGGGGGAACGGAGCCCCAGCAATCAGCTGGTTCGGCAAGACCCTCAGCATGAATCCCACGTGGGCAGGGAAACAGAGGTTGTGGTTTCTGTTCCCAGGCCCGAATCAGGCTACCCAAGGTGCCAGGGTCCGCCTGGCCTTCCAGCCTCACCCGAGGGACTCACTGCGGCCTCCTGGCTTCCCTCGGGATGGGAGAGCATGGAGGCTGCAGCCCCTTGTTAATCACGCCCACCGGCCTGTGCCAATGCAGGGTCTCACCCAGCACTCACTGTCAAAGTGGGGAGGGATCTGAGGCTCCTAAGGAATTTTTTTTGTAAGAGACACAACCTTGCTCTGTCACCCAGGCTGGAGTGCAGTGGCAGTCATGCCTCACTGCAGCCTGGACGTCCTGGGCTCAAGCCATCCTCCTCCCTTAGCTTCCCAAAGAGCTGGCCCAGTGAAAATGTGTTTGTTCCTGAGACAGGCTCTTGCTCTGTGGCCTAGAATAGGGTACGGTGGCACAATCACACCACATGGCAGCCTCAAACTCCCAGGCTCAAGCCATGCTCCCGCCTCAGCCAATCCAGTAGATGGGATACAGGTGCACACCACCACACCCAGCTAAGTTTTTAATTTTAATTTTTGTAAAGGTTGGGTGGGGGGGCCTCACTGTGTTGACTAGGCTGGTCTTGAACTCCTGGCCTTAAGTGATCCTCCTGTCTAGGCCTCCCAGTGTTGGGATTACAGGAGTGAACCACCATGCCTGGTCAATTATTCCTTTTAAAAAGCAGCTCACCCTTATTTTCATGTGTGGGCACTAGTTGAGTTCACTTTAAGAGATCATTTATCCTCACACCAGCCCTGTGGGCAGGCGCTGTTGGTCTCAGCCTGTGGCAGAGGGGAGGGCAGAGGAGCCGTGAGGGTAGAGGCTGACCAGGCCCTTCGGGTTGGCACTGGGTCTGGGCAGACCAGGACTCCTGCCCCGGCCAGTCATGGCATCTTGATGCCTGGGGGCCCTCACCCTGGGTGCTGTGCACCACACACAGAGCTCATGGGAGCACACATGCACATGCACACACCCGCAGCCTTCTGCTGAGCTGTCAGCCTCCACCCTGCTCCAGCGTGGACCAGGAGGCTATCCAGCGACTGGACATGGACACCCCCCCGCCCCATCCCCTCTTGGGTTCGAGGGCTGCTGGGAGGCTGGAAACTGATCAGAGTTCCACACAGCTCTAACCACAACCAGCCCGATTACAGTTCAACCCCCAGATTAGCTGATCAGGTAACATGGCTGGCGAAACCCGTGACTCAGCAATCTCTAGGTAAATAATTTAACTGCAGAGCCCAGTGCACACAACACGGCCTGCAGGTCGGCGCCAGAGCCACCACCCCCACTCTCCCAGCTGCCCGAGGGAGCTAGAGGGCCCTGCGGTCCTCGGTGGTCTCGCCAGCCCCTCGTCATCCCAGGGCCCCCGTGCCTGTGAGGACTGCCTCAGGTAAGAATTATCCTGGGCCCAAATCTCAGCCGCAGCAGAGCAGGGCGTGGGAGCCAAGGCCAGAAAAGCCCTGGACTGGTGGTTTCTTAGGAGCACCCTCAGGCTCCGGGCAGCTGGCCCTTCTGTCTCCATTCCACACACCTGGGGGATCCAGGGACCCAGTGTGGTGGGTCTTCGAAGGAAGGGGACACAACTCTTGCAATGTTGCCTGAGGGCCAGGACCCCCACTCTGAGCCCCAGGGGTGGTGCTGTGCCCAGCCTGCCGTGCCGACCTACCAGGCTGGGCCCACCCCCCGGGAGACTACAGCTCCCATGCCCTGGGCCAGCGTGCAAACAGCAGGCTCAGCCCAGGCCCCAAGCTCTCAGGCAGCAAAGTCTTCTTTCCCTGACGTCGCAGAGAACTTTTAAAATGAAAGTACGTTGCAGCCTGCAAATAGGACAGACCGAAGGCCTCACACAGGACTAGTGTGGCCTCTGAGCACTGCCTCCCTAACGCCACATTGCTCTCCGAGGGCAAAGGAAAGGTCGGAAGGTGCCCTTTGGCTCTGCTGGCCCAGGGTGGCTGTGTGCAGAGGACTGGGTCCTCTCTGGGTGCTGCCCCCGGGACAATGTGTCATGCCTGTTCCACAGTGAGTTGGGGAGACAGGGAGACGCCTCACATCCCAGAACTCCCTGGGCAGGGGAGAGGGACGCCAGTCACCCTCCTCCCCTCCCAGCTGGGGCCACTGTCTAGGCATATTCTCAGAATTCTACCCCAAGGCCAGGCGTAGGGGCTGGGCTGGCTCCTGAGTGCTGCTCCCCAGGCAGACTTGGGGTCCCAGCACCCACAAGGCTTGGCAGGGACATAGGAGGCCTCTTCCGCTGACCCTTCACAGGGCAGGTGACGGAGTGTCTCCAGGAGAGCAGGCGATGGTTTGGATGGGGGAGGGAGGGCTCTGGTGTGGGCACTGGGTGGACAGCGGGACCCTTCGCCAACTGGGGAGCCAGGGAGGTGGTCATGGCGCCACCAAACTCAGGCTTGCCTACACCTGTGTCCAGTGACCCAAGGCATGTATATGTGTGGTGGCAGCCCTGCCTGTTCCCTCCCCGTTGGGAGGTGGGCTTCAGGAGGCTTCAGGGAGGTTTCAGGCAGGAACTGCAGAGCCAGTGGGCTGGAGCTGAGCCGGGACAGGGTCTGGCCAGGCCGTCCTGCAGTACCACTGGCCTCAGCACAGCCCAGGGCACGGGCTTGGTGTCCTCATCCCATCTCACCCCATGATACATTCTGGAGCCAGCAGGGCCTGGCATCCATCCACACTGGGCAGGGGGCTGGGGCCCGTGGTGCCAGGAGAAGGCTCAGTGCCAGTCCCGGGCCCCAGGTGGGCAAGCGGTCCGCCCCAAGGGGCCCGCCACTGCCCGGGACCTTGTCGTTTGGCACTGGATCTTGGGCTCCCGTGACTGTACGCTCTTCTCAGCTGCAGGTTGGCCACAGGGGCAGGTGCTGCAGCATGGGCGAGTCCCCTGAGCTTCTGCAGCAGGGCAGAGGGCCGGTGCCAGTCCGGCGGCAGCGCCCGGCACCCCAGGGTTTGCGTGAGATGCTGAAGGCCCGGCTGTGGCGGAGCTGCTCGTGCAGCGTGCCGTGTGCCTGGGCACTGGTGCAGGACCTGCTCCCCGCTACGCGCTGGCTGTGCCAGTATCGCCCTCGGGAGTACCTGGCGGGTGACGTCATGTCCGGGCTGGTCATCGGCATCATCCTGGTGCCACAGGGCATTGCCTACTCACTGCTGGCTGGACTGCAGCCCATCTACAGCCTGTACACGTCCTTCTTTGCCAACCTCATCTACTTCCTCATGGGCACGTCGCAGCACGTCTCCGTGGGCATCTTCAGCCTGCTCTGCCTCATGGTGGGCCAGGTGGTGGACCGGGAGCTCCAGCTGGCCGGCTTCGACCCCTCCCAGGATGGCCTGTGGCCCGGGGCCAACGGCAGCATCCTCAATGGCTCTGCTGCCACGCTCGACTGTGGGCGTGACTGCTACGCCATCCGTGTTGCCACCGCGCTCACACTGATGACCGGGCTTTACCAGGTGAGGAGCTCAGCTTAGGCACAGGGAGGGGCCCAGGGCACCTCCTTAGGTGCTGGCCACCCACGAGGCCAAGGCTCTAGCAGAGCTGGGGCATCCCAGGGCGAGGCACTGACGTGGAGGGGCTGAGGGAACCAGAGAAGAGGGGCACGAGGAGTTGGTCTGGTGGGCTATGGCCTCAGTGGGTACCAGCGGGCCACAGGTGGCTGGGCTCAGTGGTGCTGGACTGAGGCCATGTGGCCTCCCAGGCCTTCTGTCCGAGGTGGAATGGGGAATGGCCTCCCCGGCCCCAACCGTCTCCTGCCCTGGCCTTGGTCCCCACTGGTTCCACATCTGCATGGGGGGTAGTGAGTGCCGTGTGTAGGAAGCAGGAGGAAGGGGCTGCCTTCTGATGCCCAGAGGTCTTATTTCTGAAATAAAATGGGCTTCTACGTGTGAGAAGTTAGATGTGTCTGCGGCCACCACAAGTGTCTGCAGGCATGTGCACACATGGAGTCAAGAACACAGGCCCGTGTGAGGAGTCTGATTCGGAAAAACAGAATTGTCAGGCTCTGTGCCATGACCACCACCCCTCGGGCCATGCCAGGGGCTGGTGACGGGCACGTGGCTCCTGCTGGGCGCCTGCTGACCTGGCTGCCCTCCATCCACAGGTCCTCATGGGCGTGCTGCGGCTGGGCTTCGTGTCCGCCTACCTCTCGCAGCCACTGCTGGACGGCTTTGCCATGGGGGCCTCAGTGACCATCCTGACCTCGCAGCTCAAGCACCTGCTGGGCGTGCGGATCCCTCGGCACCAGGGGCTGGGCATGGTGGTCCGAACGTGGCTGAGCCTGCTGCGCAGCGCCGGGCAGGCCAACGTGTGCGACGTGGTTACCAGCACGGTGTGCCTGGTGGTGCTACTGGCTGCAAAGGAGCTCTCAGACCGCTACCGACGGCACCTAAGGGTGCCACTGCCCACAGAACTGCTGGTCATCGTGGTGGCCACGCTCGTGTCCCACTTCGGGCAGCTCCACAAGCGCTTTGGCTCAAGTGTGGCTGGTGACATCCCCACTGGTTTCATGGCCCCTCAGGTCCCAGAGCCCAGACTGATGCAGCGTGTGGCCTTGGATGCCATGGCCCTGGCCCTCGTGGGCGCGGCCTTCTCCATCTCGCTGGCAGAGATGTTCGGTCGCAGCCACGGCTACTCTGTGCGTGCTAACCAGGAGCTGCTGGCTGTGGGCTGCTGCAACGTGCTGCCTGCCTTCCTCCACTGCTTCGCCACCAGCGCAGCCCTGGCCAAGAGCCTGGTGAAGACAGCCACTGGCTGCCGGACGCAGCTGTCCGGCGTGGTCAGCTCTGCCGTGGTGCTGCTGGTGCTGCTGGCACTGGCACCGCTGTTCCACGACCTACAGCGAAGTGTGCTGGCTTGCATCATCGTGGTGAGCCTGCGGGGGGCCCTGCGCAAGGTGTGGGACCTCCCACGGCTGTGGCGGATGAGCCCGGCCGACGCCCTAGTCTGGGCAGGCACTGCGGCCACCTGTGTGCTGGTCAGCACAGAGACCGGGCTGCTGGCCGGCGTCATCCTCTCGCTGCTCAGCCTGGCCGGCCGCACCCAGCGCCCTCACGCCGCCCTGCTGGCCCGCATCGGGGACTCGGCCTTCTACGAGGACGCCACAGAGTTCGAGGGCCTCGTCCCTGAGCCCGGGGTGCGCGTGTTCCGCTTTGCGGGGCCGCTGTACTACGCCAACAAGGACTTCTTCCTGCGGTCACTCTACAGCCTCACAGGGCTGGACGCAGGGTGCGTTGCTGCCAGGAGGAAGGAGCAGGGCTTTGAGGTGGGGGTTGGCGAGGGAGGCCCTGCCCAGGGCAAGGACCTGGGCCCGGTTAGCAGCAGGGCTGCGCTGGTGCCCACGGCAGCCGGCTTCCACACAGTGGTCATCGACTGCGCCCCACTGCTGTTCCTGGACGCAGCTGGCGTGACCACGCTCAAGGACCTGCGCCGAGACTACGGGGCCCTGGGCATCAGCCTGCTGCTGGCCTGCTGCAGCCCACCTGTGAGAGACATTCTGAGCAGAGGGGGCTTCCTTGAGGAGGGCCCAGGGGGCACAGCTGAGGAGGAGCAGCTGTTCCTCAGTGTGCACGATGCCGTGCAGACGGCAGGAGCCCGCCACAGGGAGCTGGAGGCCACCGATGCCCGCCTGTAGCAGGACCAGGCCTTCCTGGCAGCCTCTGCTCCCTCCAGGGGGCCCATGGCGGACGTCTGCAAGCCACTGCTTAGACTCTTCCCAGGGAGGAGACACCCAAGGGACGCGCTCCTGCACTACCGCTGCCTGGGGGAAGCCAGGGAACCCCAGCTGGGGAAGGAGGCCCTCTGATTACATGCATTCCTGCCCACCGCTGCCCAGGGGAAACCGAGGAACCCCAGCTGGGGAAGGAGGCCTTCTGATCACAAAGGACCCAAACACTCAGAAATCAAGAACCTCTGCCCCTGAGAGACAGGCTGGCCCACAGTGCTGGCCGGGCCCGATGCTCAAGGCCCTCGCTGTCCCTAGCCTCAGAAGGGCTGGGCCTGGCCTGATGCTCAGGGTTGACATTTTAATTGAACAAGGGCCACCTCCCCCCCGACATCATGCAGCCTCCAAGTGCCAAGAGGACCCCCTATGTCCAGGCCTGCCTGGTGCTCACCCCTGTTGGTAGGAGCCGGTGGTTCTGGCCAAGTGCATGAGGGTCTGTGTGTTCCTAGAAAGCCCCACACACCCGAGTGGCCCTCACACCTCGTGTCTCCCCCTCACAGGGTGGCCACCTGCACCAGCATCAAGGCCACAGGTGCTGTGATGACCTCAGCTTAGCCCTCAGGTGTGGTGGCCTGCCCAGCCCAGCTAGCAAACACACACAGGGGTGCCCATGGGTGCAGTGGAGACAGGTGCAGCACAGCCAACCCTGAGCCTCCAGGGGGCCCTGGAGGAAGCCCACCGCGCCCCACGCAGGGGCACCCTCCAGCACACAGCCCTCGCCCCAGCAAGGACACGATCCCCTCAACAGGGTGCGTCGGCAGAAACGGGGAACAAAGGATCTTCCGAGCAGCCCCCAGCTCTGCGCCTCCTCAGTTGCCCCTTCCCCAGCCCGTCCCCTCTGTGCCTCTGTAAGGGGTTCTGGGACACCCAGGCCCCGAGTCACCCACCTGGTGGTGACAAGCTCCAGCAGCCAGTGGGTCCGGACCTGCTCGATGCCACGGTGAGGGACGGCGCCCACATAAGCAAGGTTGAGCTGCTGGTCCCAGCTGAGGACGTACTGGTCAGCCTGGCTGTGTGGCAGTGGAGGGCTGGGGACAGCAAAGGGGCGGCTCAGGCCTGAGCCTCAGCATGGCCGGCAGCACAGCCAACACTCAGGCTCAAGCCCAGGGATGCCTGGGCGCCAGATCCAGGTGCTGCGCTTGTGCTCAGTGACTAATAAAATGGCCCTTAGGGCCAGGAATGTAGGGAGGTCCCATCTTCATGGGGAACAGGAGCAGCACTAAGACAGAGGAGCCAAAACCAGCCCTGGCCCCGGCTCTGCCAGGCAGGCAGGCACCTCGAGTCTCCGTGGAGGGAAAGGGACAGGCGGGCCAGGTCCCGCTACAGGGGCGTCCCACCCCATGGGGAGACTCCTGGACCACCTCAAAGAGCAGGATCATGGGCATCGGCCTGGGTTACAGGGAGCGGCTGCTGGGCAAGCTCAGGGTCCAGCCCCAGGCCCGCGGGCCGGCGCCCACTCAGCTGGAGAGCCCACCCCCAAACACGGCGCGGAGCGGGCCGGGAGAGCCAGGGCCCCAGAGGAGGGAGCTCCAGTCTCGGAAGCTCCCAGTTAGGGGGCGCCCGCGCTCTCCCCGTGCGGCCAGGGGGTCCCGGAGGCCGCGGGCGGGCGCGCGAGGCGCTCACCAGAAGCCCGTGCTCCTCCAGAAGCGCCGCAGGGGCCACAGCGCGCGGGCCGCGTCCACCCGCACCAGGTGCGGGGCCTCGGCCGGGGCCACCGGGGGCGCGGCCAGGAGCGCGGCCAGGAGCGCGAGCAGCGCAGCGCGGGGGCGCGGGGGGCGCATGGCCGGGCGCGCTCGGGGACTGCGGAGCTTCGGGCCGCACTGCCGGTTCCGCCTCCGGGTCGGAGTCTGGGCGCGCCCCCCACGTGACTGCCGCTGCGGGCGGGAAGGAGCGGGGCCTTGGTGGGCGGGGCGAGTGCCGGGTGGGCGGGGCCGAGCGCCTGGTGGGCGGGGCAAACGGGTGGGCCGGGCCGGGGAGCCCAGCAGCTCCGTGAGGGTTGGGGCGCGGCTTCCTGGCAGGCCTCAGGGGTTGCTCTGACGAAGGCGCTCAGCAGAAAGCTTGGCCCGTTGGTGCTATATGAGTTGAGCCATGATTGTCTTGTTTTTCTCCGTTCTTTTTTGAGACAGACTCTTGCTCTGTCGCCCAGGCTGGAGTGCAGTGGCGCCATCTCAGCTCACTGCAACCTCCACCTCCAGGCCTCCAGCGATCCTCTGGCCGCAGCCTCCCGAGAAAAGCGTGCGCTTTAGCAAGCAGGAGAATTATCCCAGAAGAGCACACTGGGCCCTCACACTTGGCTTCACATCCTTGGATTCAACCAAGCAGACTGAAAATATTTTTTTAAGCCAAAGCAATACAAAAAATACAAATTTAAAAATAATACAGTATAACGGCTATGTACAGAGCATTTACATTGTATTAGGGATTATAAGTAATTGATTTAAAGTACACAGTAGGATGTGCGTAGGTAATGTGCAAATACTACACCATTTTATATCAGGTACTTGGGCACCTGCAAATTTTGGTATCTCTGAGGGTCCTGGAACCAATACCCTGAGGATACCACAGGACAACTGTAGTCCAGCCTGCATGTGTGAATCCAAGCAAACATTGTATGAAAATAATAACAATGGAAAGAACAGGCTGGGTGCAGTGGCTCACACCTGCACTCCAGCACTTCGGGATTGCAGGCCAACACTGGAGGATCATTTGAGGCCGGGAGTCTGAGATCAGCCTGGGCAACGTACCAAGACCCCATCTGTACAAAAAAGATACATTTTTAAAAATTAGCCAGATGTGATATCATATGCCTGTGAGTCCCAGCTACTCACAAAATTGAGGTGGGAGATTGCTTGAGCCTGCGGAGTTCAAGGCTGAGAGGAGCTGTGATCACACCACTGCATTCCAGCCTGGTTGACAAATGGAGACCCCATCTCTAAAAAAAAAAAAAAAAAAAAAGAAAAAGAACAGTCTATTAACAAAAAGAAAATACTGGACAATAATCCTCTGTAGGTTGGGAAGCAGATTATTAGAGCGACAGCGTTCTGGGTCTTTTTATTTTGGGGAGAGGGATTAAAATATTTGCTTAACACTAGTTCTTCTGATGTTAAAATTGCAAGGTGAAATGTCATGATTAGCCATTTGAAGGAGAAATGGTGTGTATATATTCCAAATTAGCAGGGAGGAAAAACATAACACACACACACACACACACACACACACACACACACACACGGACAAAATTCAATGAAAAACTGAAAGGTAAGAAAGGGAGGGAAGGGGAGAAGAAAGTGCTAGCACAGAACTGTCTCCAGGAACAGCGGGTAAGATGCTCAGTCCAACACCCCAGCGAAAACAACGAAGATGGTAGATAAACTGCTTTAAAAACAATTCCTCAAAGCGTCAGAGGTCCGAAAACACAGTAAGAAAGCCCCACACTGCAGCGCAGGACGCAGCAACGGAGGCTGAATTGTTTCAGAGCAGCCGCCTCCTGAGGGCAGCCATCAGAGCCCCGGAGCGCCGCACAGAACTGTCCGGGGCACTGGAGCTGCGGGGCCTCAAGGCTCTGCAGGGCCCAGAGCTCAGGCAGGGAGGCCGGGTAGAGACTTTGGGCTTTCCTTGGGACCCCAAAGGGCTATCCCCTAAAAGCAAAGGTGAAGCAAAAACAGAATTGTCTTTGCAGGGACCAAAGCCCTCCTTAAATCACCTCAAGCCCTGAGAGAAGTAAGGTGAGCCGCTCACCTGGGCACCTGCCGGAAGAAAAGTAAACCTTCCCTGGAGGAAGGTAAAACAAGCAAAATGAAAACAGACAGAAATCCTTACTGCACAGTGCTGGAATGGATCCTGGGTCAGGAAAAAAGGATTATAACGTGCACAATGAGGACATTCACAATTTGAAATATGTCTTGTATACTGTGTAATAAAATTCTGCCAGTGATAAACTCCAGAATTATTAAATGACTCAATGATTGCATCACAGTTGTGAATGGAGATTTTTTTGTTCATTTGTGATCCATGCTGAAGTATTTAAAGGTGAAGAGTCATTAGGTCTGTACCCAAAATGGCTCTGGAAATTAAAGCAAAACCAATAATTTAGATTACAAACAGAGACAGTGAGATTAAAGCAAAGGTAGCAAATGTTAACCATCGGTGGACCTGGGTGGAAACTAGGCACTGGTATTGTGACTTTTCTGTGAGTTTGAAATTTTTCAAAATGAAAACATTGAAGAAAGGATTAAAATCTCATGAAACATACTCAAAATTTATCAAATGATACACTTGATCTTGCTTTATTATATATATATAGAGAGAGAAAGGTGGGGGAGAGAGAGAGAGTGAGAGTGTGTCAGTCTCCCTCTGTCACCCAGGCTGGAGGGCAGTGGTGCGATCTCGGCTCACTGCACCTCCACCTCCCAGATTCAAGCAATTCTCCTGCCTCAGCCTCCCAAGTAGCTGGGACTACAGGCTTGCACCACCATGCCCAGCTAATTTTTCTATTTTTAGTAGAGATGGGGCTTCACCATGTTGGCCAGGATGGTCTCAATCTGTTGACTTCATGATCTGCCCACCTCGGGCTTCCCGAATGCTGGGATTACAGGCATGAGCCACTGCCCCTGGCCCATTTTATTCTATGTAAATCATATCTCAATAAAGCTGGTAACATAACATATTGGTTTAACAGCACGTTAAATCTGGCTAGGCTGGGAGAGGTGGCTCAGGCCTGTAATCCCAGCACTTTGGGA